CTGCTCATATATCGGTCACCAACCTAATAATCTTACTACTGGGGCTATTCAAACACAGCGAATCTGTTGTTAGCACAATTTTTATCACATATGTTATATTATCTTAAATTTAATTTTTATATCCATCTCTCACTTCTATTGTGAAAATTTCATTTCATAAAAGTAAAACCAATGTAGACAATACGTATAGAATAATGAAAGATGTTCGCTTCATCTTCCATTTTGGCCCAATGTATGCCTTATTATTTCGCGTTCCCGTTCCCTGATGATGTCAGGTCGCATCCGGCATTGTCACGAGGTTTCAATCCCTATCTTTTTTGTTCAGCCACACAACTGTTTGTCTGAAAAGGCTTTAATCATTGTTGTTTTAAGCTCATTGATTCTATTGTTAATGACATGAAAATTATCGTAGATGTCCACGATGTCTTCGTTATAGGATAATTAGTTTAGAAGCTTATGGTGTTTTCAATAAACTGTCATTTCAAGTGAATAACTAATGGATTGAGTTCTTCAATATACGTAGTTGGTTTGGGACCAACCACGTTCTGTCACTGTCACATTATTTTTAAATTTCGAACATGATTTTATAAAATAAATATAACATTATATTTTTGAATGTTTGACTATTATTTTTAAACAAAAACAATCACTTTCCGTAATTTTTCACGATGGAGTGGACATTGAAAGAAAACCGAATAGGTGTTAATGCGTTGCACCGCTGTGGGCACTCGCCGAGTACCATTTTCAAGGGGCTCAAAAATTTGAATATAAAGCTTAGGTTTGTGTACCGTACTATTGATAGGTACAATGAAGTCTCCAGTGTTGAGGACAAGAAAATAACTCAGCAGTAACACCAGCAGTAATCAAAGCTATCATGGCGCGGATAGCAAGAAATCCTGTCCGAAAACAGAAGTTGATGGCTTTACAGATGGATGTCAATAGGAAAATAGTAAAAAAAGGTTTTAAATGAAGATCTTGGTCTACGAGCATACAAAACATAGAGTGGGCACTTACTTAATGCTCTTCTGAAAGCAATAAGGCTTAAGAGATCGCGGGTGTTATTAAAGCGGTACGCGAAAAACCGACACCGTGATATCTTCTTTACGGATGAAAAAATTTTCGATATTGAAGAGAAGTACAATAAACAGAATGATAGAGTGTACGCCAGGAGTTCTGAAGAAGCTGGAAATAAAGTTCCAAGGGTGCAACATGGACATCATCCATCATCAGTAATGGTCTGGTTGGGAGTGTCCTATTACGAGCCAACTGAAGTTCATTCAGAAGGGGGTCAAGACCAGTGCAAAAGTGTACCAAGATACGGTTTTGGATCGGATTTTCAAATAACTGCCCAGCACGCTATTGCGGGACATCACTTCGTGTTTCAGCAGGACTCTGCGCCTTCCCACACAGCCAAGAGCACTCAAGCCTGGTTTGAGCGTCAAAACATCGACTTAATTAGACATGAGGATTGGCCTTCCTTCAGTCCGGACCTTAATCCTTTGGACTATAAAATTTGGCAGGTCTTAGAGAGGAAGGTCTGTGCTATACCACATAAAAATTTGGAGAGTCTGAAGTCATCTTTAAATAAAGCAGACACTGAAATCGACATGAATATGGTGCGTGCTACTATAGACGACTGCCCGCGGCGCTTAAGGGCCAGTATTAAAAATAAGGGAGGTAATTTCGATTAATTTTTTTTTTTTGGTATATCACTTATTAAAAAGTGATAAGTAGTTTTGTTTTTATCATTACTTCCATTTATGACAGAACTTTGGGACCGACTACATACGAGTATGTTATTAAGGCTTTTGTTTACGTGTTTTTACTAAAGACGTGTAAATCTTATATGAAGTGTTTTACTATTTATAATTACTCTACTTTGTAACGAACGTAAATACCTTATTTAATATATACAAAATGTTTATGAACCTTTTTATTAATAAAAAGTTAGATGACGAAACTTTTAAAATATCTAAACTTCAATAATTACGAAAGTAATATTATATTTTGTTGGAAAGTTTAAAGCTCTCGGTGATAAAAGTAAAAAAACATAAAGTATCGGTAATAAAACCTTTTTACCTTAAATAATTGGGTCACGTTTAAGAAAAACAGCCTTTTGAGGTTTTCGAGTGGTAAGTTTGGGTCGATCCATTTCCCTCAATAACTTTGAAACTTTGATCATTGGTTCATGATTTTTCTCAGGTTTTCCGCCATGTGTTTTTTCGTTTGATGTGACGTTTTTTTCCTATTTTATATAGCTTCAAACTATAGAACGCAACATATGTGTAGTCCCCTCAACAAGGCCAAACTCAAAACTTGATTTACGTACGTACAAGGGTTGCTGTCAGTTGCAAGATTTTGTTTCCAAGATCAACATAATTTGGTATGGTAATAATAGGTTGGTGAGTTAAATTTTGATACTTCCGACATAAATAGAATCTGAGGCCAAAACTAAGGCTGGTAGCGCCTTTAGGTTTTTTATCTAGAATTATTCACTGGTAAAAAAACTTACAATAGTAAAAAAAAACATTAAAGAAGAATCGCCATAGCTAACGATTTGTGTCTGAAGAGGTTTATATCGGAGTTAAACTAAAATTTAAATAAGCTGATTACGCCTTTAGTACACCTACGCAATCGCATGCGGCAGCGAAACGACGAAAAAACTGTAAGTTGTATGGCAACGTTTCGCATGTGTTTTGTCTCGCTCTATTATATAGCTAGATGAAATAGTTGCGTCTTTGTCGGTATTGTTTCGCAAGTAACTGCGAAATGGCTGTTACACAGACGCAGCCGTTTCGCTAGCGGAGTTTCGCATCGCAATGCGTCACCACGCGTTATGTCAGTGAGGACAGAATTTCGCACAATGGAAGCCGAAAATATTGAATTATTATTAAATTTGATTCGAAATTATCCCGAATTATATTTAGTTGGGCATGTTAATTACAAAAATGCATACAAAAAAGAGGTGGCATGGAGGAAAATTCAAGAAAAGACGGGGATAGATGGTAAGAAATAAAGCTACAATGACATTTCCTTGCGAAAAAACTGCAGTGTACTAACGTTCCGCAGATATTTCGCTACCGCAATTATTTCGCAAAGACTCGCAGCCGCATACGAACGCGTAGGTGTACTAAAGGCGTTAGAGATACAATCGCCCTTAAAAAAAATATTTTCATTCATTAATCGAAGATTAAATCTTGGAGTTAAGTTGCACTGTTCTTATTTATTACCGCGAGAGATAACTTAAAGATCCAATGTAATTACTATATAGTTGTTTCAATTTTAATATTTTAAAATAAAACTTTATATCTGTTATTTACATAAATTTAACTGCAGATAAATTAATCAATAAATATTTTAGTTCCACTTAAAATAACATATGTATTCATAATTAATCCCAGTTTCCCAATATACTAGACCAATTTAGACCCTTAAATTTAATAACAAAGAGCACATCTCCGATTCATAGTGAGATCCAAAAGCAAGCTTTGATCTCGGTGAAAGGTCGGGAGCATGTAAGTGACATTCACTTTATCAGTTGCCAATTTTGGAGATTACGTGCCAGATTTGTGGGTATTATTCCTGTAGTTCAATAATATTGTAGCTATGATATCTCTGTTTCGTAAAATATGTTAATAATTAAAACGTTAAATTAATCAGTTATTAATTATTTAAAGAAATAGTTATATACCTAACAATGTAAATCTCTCAATCCTCAGTTATGATCATTATATCTTTTTTTTAAATACACTAAGACAACACGGAACATTACAATCTAGCCTAGCTTAAGACTTTCCTACAACTTCAATTATGTTTGGCTACTCCAAAGACTCTTGGACCATGGGGTTCATGTGCACAGGCGCTAATTAAAGAATTTAGTTGGCGCCTGGTTGATAGTACCAGTGAAACCAGAGCTGGTGCTTTCCTCGCTCATCGAATAAGTATCGCAATACAGCGCGGAAATGCTGCCTTAGGGACCAAACTTTTTAAAATTGTTTTAATTTTCTATTGATTATTTTTTAATTATTATTCTTATAATAAAAATAAATTATTAATTATAAATAAATAATTATTTTTTTCTTAATGCAGGTTAAGAAATTTGTAAATACTGTTTTTTTTTTTACCAATAAGTTTGTTTAACATAAGAAAGTGTACATTACTAAGTGTCTTACACTACTTAATACTTATATACTTAATAGAGAAATTTTTATGAGCGCAATTAACACATAAAAACGTCATGAGTACCCCGAATCGACTTCGTGTAAAGATCCATAAATGGACGCAAATATCTTTCCTGTTTCTACGTGGGTTTACGACTATATACATTTGAGTTGCATATTATACCTACGATGGTTACGGTGCTACGGCACATTGCATTGTTTCATACTAACATCGTAGACTTTCGTAGCTGTAATATTATATAAGACCCGAAATAAGTTTTTTCAATATAATTCAATAGAATTAAATAAAAAATGTTATTTAGATGCGGGTGTTACCATTGTCAAAATCAAATTCAAAAGACAAGAGTTTGACGTATATATATATAAAGATGATATGTTGGTTTGTGTACGCTTCGAAAACTCAAAAAGTTCTGCACTTTTGTGCACTGAAATTTTAGCATGATATATAATCCGCATCAAGGATTGTTTCTTTTTTTTTCCACAAGTATTGCAAAATTAAACTTATATGAAATATTTTCTTTGTTTTGTTTCTCATTTCTCAACCATTCATTCACAATGTGCCTCAGCGAAGCGTGGCAGGGAACAGCTAGTTTTTTTAATAAAAATGTTTTGTCCATTAAGATCAAGAAATTAGTAGGAATAACTTTGCCGCTTTCTGTAAGCCTAGGCCTAGGCCCGTATTCAATATTAAATCACAATCTCGTCTTACTCTGTCAAAGATGTTTGACATCTTCTGAAACTAGAATCAACTTTGATTTACAAGCTTAACATTTTGTATTCTATGATTTGTTATAAACTGTTTATTAAATGCAATTCTAGCGCGTCGGCTGCGATCTACGGGTCGGGTCAACCCGGCGAGTGGACGAATGCGGTGTCTGCGGCGGCGATGGCTCGTCCTGCTCACGGCCGCGTTACCACTGGCTGTCTACACCTGGGTCTTTATGTTCAGCAACTTGTGGGGGAGGTCAGTACTATACTATAGTATATAATAAGATAATTGTATGAGGCATTTGTAAATTCAACAATCTTCTTATACGAAATTTAATCCAATAGCATACCAATACTTAAAGACCGAAAAGTATGAAGTAAAAAATCAACACAATTATAGCTCTTCAGCCTATAAGTTTTCGCTCTGTTAAATAAAATAATTACATGTAATAGTAATGATTATGTATAAACATTTAAAATTACGTTCTCAAGTAACTATATTATTGTATAGATGTAATATAATAGATTATATATTTATTTCACGTTAAAGTGAAAATATTTCTTAATAAGTTGGAATATAAATACCCATACATACGCCAAAAACGTATATAATTTTCATAGTACCTAAATACAAATATAGTAATAAGATTTATGAAAAATTATTTTTTATATCGGAAATACATTGCTGTAATACGAAACATTTATTAAAAATGGAATGGTTTCCGATATATTGTAATTATTTTTATATTGTAAGCTGATCCGCTCTAACCATTTTGTATAAAATTTTCAACAATTATTCATTTAAAAACAGCCTTTCACTACAAAATTTTTGGTCCGATTTAAAGGTTATTTATTTATTTATTTTTTAATTAAATAATTTATACACTGTCCATTAATGGAAGACATTCTTTCAAATAAGAAGTGATCAACGAAACACAAAAATATTATTTATATGTGGTATTCAAAGTACCTTGTGAATTGAAGCTTTAACAATAATTTACTCGCTCAATAGACATTGGTTGGATATAATCAAGATAATTCCAGCATAATGGACTATCTATTACGAGGTGTGTTTGACACTCACTAGAGCGTATCTACATTTGCTACAATATCTCAAATTCCCATATGTTTAAAACGTATTACGTCTCGTAAATTGATTTTTTACATTCACAACAATTGATACTTCTATTTCTATTTCTATTTCTATTTGGTATCTTTTATTAATCATGTTTGTGTGTAAATTATAAATTAAATTAGCGTAGTAATTATACTTTGTATTGACAAAGCCTTATGATAAGAGAATTCTCTAAATGAGTTATCGAGTCTTTATTCTTAAAAGTATTCTTAAATTAATAAATTAATTTAGATTAAAAGTACTAATGTAAAAAAATCGTAATGTATTAAATTTTTGAATATTGCCTTAAGTCGCTAGCAACACGCTATCTTTATCCAGAAATAATAGACAATTCCATAGATACAAATCCAAAGAATACTCAAGCTGTGGCTCATTTAAAATATAATTAGATTATTTGAATTTGAATTGAGAATTGCGTCGTTAATTGTAAGGGAGCGTCGTTATTTACGTCGGAATCTCCTGTTGATAAATCAGTGGGGAATCTTTTGTCTCCATCGCGTTACGAAACAGTACTTGAAATATTATGTGCAAAGTATACTTGCGACTTTTAATCGTTCAATAGATCGGAATTTAAAAAAATCGTTTGTTTAAATGACACAATAGCGTATTACGAAATATCATGTGACAAAATATATGTTTTTACACACGGATTACGGATTTAACGTCAATCAAAGAGCCTGATTTATACAGATTATACATTTCTGTTTGTGTTTAGGCCCTTTTACCCTCTACGCAACGCAACCATTATCAACTTGATACGTCAATAAAAAGCGGGCTCGGAAGACAGACCGATTATTAATATTACTCTTAGCAGAAGGCAATAGATGCTACAAACTAAGACGTCCTTAACAAAGCTTTTAGCTTTGAAATTAAAATCCTTCCGAATCGCATCATGTCAAGCACACAAAAATCGCAAGACTGCAATGATTTATACAAATTTCGCGATTCTAATTAAGAGAAGCCGTGAAAGATGAAAACGAAGATAAGAATTGGCTTCTGCGGTTAACTAATTTCGCTGATGGACCGCAATATTTGATTGAAACATTTGATGTTGGTTCAAATGTTGGCAAAAACTTAATTTGATTGCTTTGCGGTGATTCTGTATAAAATATAAAGTAGAATATTTTAACTTCACATATTTTACTTTAACATAGAATATGGTTCTGAGTATGCCTTCAGTGTGCCAAAAATGTATTGGATTTCCAACTAAATGTAAAATGATGGTGCGAAGGCGGTATTATCTTTATTACCCGTTACAAGGTGGGTTATATTATAATCGATTCTGATATTAATACAATACAAAACGATACAATAAAATAATGTTATTTTTCTATGTTACGTGAAACCACCGCTCATGGACTGCCAAATGGCACGGAAGTGGTGAAGTGAATTGGTTCAGAAATACTTCAGGATGAATTAACGATAAATTCACGAACTATGGAAAATATAATTTGTATAAGTTGATATAACCGCAATGGAATTTCCAGCATTTGATTTACGAATGAAACACGACACGATGCTTCCTCGTTTCCCTTTAAAGGAAATATCATAAATTAATTTCTTACAAGCATTTATCAGTGCCAGAAAACGTAAGTCACTCTGGCCTTCGAATGGACCCCATTCGTCATTCCACTGGCACTTCATTAACAATTGAAAAGGGTCAGAACAGAAATGGATTTTAGAACTAATTGTAATTTTTTTAATAAGATCCGGGTTCTTGCTTGTGTTAATTTACATATTATTACGGCTAGTAGCAATTACGAATAGTATTTTTAAATAAAAAAACCGTTCGTTACAACCTTCTTCAACCTTACTTGAAAACCTAATTCTTCTTTACGAACTTAAATTATAAGTGTTGTCTAACATGTGTCACTAAAAGCTGCAGCTAAATGTAATTGGTACTTGTAGGCATTTCTGGTTCTCTGTTGTAATTAATTAGCATTCTGATTAGTATTGAAAATAGAAAAGCTGTCTCTAAAGATAGTTACCATCCAAACTAATCCACCATTTATAACTTAAACTAAACAAACTAGACGCGTTGTTTTTTAAATAAATCCATATAAAATAGAAACAATTTACTATATAAGAATTTTTTCAAAATTGTAATTACCTTCAGAAAATAGCGCCGAAAATATTTTATTAGGTAAATATTAATTATAATAATATTAAAATAAAATAAAATTACGTAAAGTCTAAGAAACGGACAATTTAATAGTTGTCAGACAAAATTTGCTTATGCCTAAACTTGAACCCTTTTTTCTCAGTGCTCTTGCTTGTGCTCTTTATGCTTTTGCTTGTGCTCCTCCTTCTTCTTGTGTTGTGCTCCTGCTTTTGCTTGTGTTGTGCTCCTGCTGATGCCTGTGTGTTTATTTTATTTTCATATTTTATTTTCATCCTGTGACGAAACGAAGAGTTACCAAAACCAGCAGCCTTCTTTTTTATTTTTGATCTTGTCCTATTTTTTGTTATGTGTCCTTTTTAAGTTACTTTTATGTGTTTTTAAATTTGTTTTAAGTTATTGTTTTTTTTTATGTTAGTTTATTAACTGTTGTGAATGCAGGCCGTGACCCTATCTTGTGATGGCACGTCGATCGCGTCCCATACATGTACATTTTGCAACAAGTCTTTCAAATCTTTGAAAGGCCTCAAAATACACATTTCTAAAACACACAGGAACTGTATTAGCCAAACCAGTTCACTTTTAGAAATCCATCCCATTATTCCGAGTGCGCCTACTTTTGCAGCCAACGCTCCAACTCCTTTTCATACATTACTTAGCCATTTGAAAAATAGTATACCCATTGTTAAAAGAATCCCTCGCAGAGCACGAATAACTGTTGCTACACATTTGTCAAAATTAATCTAGAAATGTTATATAAGCAATTGTACTCAAGACTGGCAGAACTTATTTTTATTTTCATACAGTACGCTACACATAATAAAAACTGATGAACCGAATTTATCCCTGACACAAAAGATAAAGAATAACTGTGCTGTAAGTTCCTCACCTTCTCCCGCACCTCTAATTAAACATGATGCCCCTTTTAATCGCAAAAAACTCATCGAGAACAAAATTTGTGACGGAGATCTTAAAGGTGCCGCTCGTCTTTTGTTCTCCAATGACGTGCTATCGCCAGATACGCCTGACACCCTTGAGGCATTACGGACTAAACATCCCCCAGCTCCAGTAAACCCATATTTTCTCGACCCACCAACAGCAGGGCAAGCATGCCTTAAAATTCGAAACAAAGATGTAACTGATGCAATTTTATCTTTTAAACCAGGTTCGGCAGCAGGATTGGATGGAATCTCACCCCAACATTTGAAAGATTTAACATCGCATTCTGTGGGTGATGCAGGCGAGCAACTTATTAACTCGATCACAAAATTAATAAATTTTATGTATTCCGGGAATGTCAATACAGAAATTGTTCCCATTCTTTTCGGCGCGAACCTCATTGCCCTCACTAAAAAGGACGGAGGGGTGAGACCAATTGCTGTTGGTTCAACACTAAGACGTCTGGCTTCCAAAATTGCTGTTCGACATATTTTACCAAAATTAAATTCAGAATTTGAAATTGTACAGTTAGGCTTCGGTGTGAAAGGAGGGTGTGAGGCAGCCGTCCATGCCCTACGCTCTTTCCTAAGTCACGGACAGCCAGACGTGTTGCTCAAAATTGATGTGAAAAATGCATTTAATTCGGTAAATAGGGATACCCTGCTGACTGAAATAAAACAACATATACCGGAAATATACAATTATCTTCTTCTCAGTTACGCTGATCCAACTAAATTGTTATATCGTTCTAATGAACTTTCCTCGGAAGTAGGTTGTCAACAGGGTGATCCCCTTGGGCCTGAAATTTTTAGTTTGGCTATAAATCCCATAATCAAACATTTAAATTCTAATTTCAATGTTTGGTATTTGGGCGACGGAACCCTAGGAGGTGATGTGGATACTGTGTTTTCGGACCTTCTTTTAATCAAAAATAAATTTGAAGCCATTGGTTTGGAGCTTAATTTTAACAAATGCGAACTTTTCATAAATAACTGCGACTTAAATTTAAATGATGTAAAAAAAAAAATTTCAAATTTTGGCTCCAAATATTAAAATAGTTAACAGGAATTCCCTTTACCTTTTAGGTTCTCCAATTTTTAATGAATCTATTTCTGATTATATTCATACTTCAATTACTAAATTTCAAAATTCTGCTGACCGTCTCCTTGAAATTAGTCCACATTATGCACTTTGCATCTTAAAATTCTGTCTTTTCCTCCCAAAATTTACGTATGTGCTCCGTTGCTGCTCCTTTTGGAATCACCCAGATATTTTAACACCATTAGACGACTTAATCAAAATTAGCTTAGAATCACTTCTTAATATGCAGCTGAACGAGCAATCTTGGACCCAAGCTTCCCTACCCATCCGTTATGGTGGTTTAGGGATTCGCAAAATTTCCAGTGTCGCTTTACCAGCCTTTCTATCTTCTGTCCATAGTTCAGCAAATCTCATAAGTAAAATTTTAAGGGCATCCCCTTCAAACTTTGAGATTGCTGGCTTGGAAGAAGCTAGAAACGCTTTCTTGATTGCATGCCCAGGTCAAAATTTTCCATTATCTCTAAATTCACAGAGGAGCTGGGATGACATACACTGCAAGTTGACTTTTGACGATCTTTTGAGTCGTAGTACAGGTTCGGCGCGTGCTAGGCTTTTGGCCGTGGGCACGCATGAGGCCGGCTACTGGCTTCACGCTTACCCATCGTCAAATACAGGAACTTTTCTTGAGCCTGACACGCTTCGAATCGCAACCTGTCTACGGCTTGGGGTTCCGGTCTGCGCTCCTCATATATGTCCCTGTGGCAGTGATGTCGACAAGTTACGACATCACGGCCTGTCATGCCAAAAAAGTGCAGGCCGCTTCTCGAGACATGCCGCACTTAACGATATCATACGCCGTTCCCTTGCCACCGTCAACGTGCCAAGTCTTCTTGAGCCAAGTGGTATTGCAAGAGACGATGGCAAGAGACCGGACGGTATGAGTTTGATTCCATGGAAGATGGGTCGGGTACTGGCATGGGATGCAACCTGTTCAGACACGCTGGCCCCTTCCCATCTACGTGGAACCAACTACAGAGCTGGTGCGGCTTGTGAAGCGGCTGAAAAAAATAAAGCAGGCAAATACAGGGGTCTGGGCTCTGAATATGATTTTGTCCCATTCGGTGTCGAGACCCTTGGTCCGTGGGGTCCTAGCGCTTTAAGGCTTTTAAAGAAATTTCAAAAAGGTTAGTCGACATCACAGGAGACCGAAGATCTGGCAGCTACCTCGGACAAAGAATAAGTCTAGCAATTCAAAGGGGGAACGCTGCCAGTATCTTCGGAACCTTGCCTAAAGGGACTCCTTTTAATGATATATTTTAGTTTATGTTAAGTTTCGTTATTTATTTCAATGTATATTATTTTATTATTATTAGTTTATGTTTATAAGTTTAATTTTATTAATATTGTTACCATTCCTATAATAAATTACTTAATACTAAATTTAATTATAATTAACCGCTTAGCACTTTGCATTAACTTCGGACATTATTCCACTTGACGCAAAAGAATTATAATTAGTTAATTTTTATTTGAACGAAGACCTTTAGACATTTTTTAAATCAAAATAAAAATAGATAAAATACAATAATTTTAATAACAATTGTGTATTGAAACTTTCTAGCGTTTCAATTCAAATTTAATTCAAAAATCATTTATTCATATAGGTAACAAAGCGTACACATATGAACGCCAAAAAATAAATATATATGAAATGCTTCTAATTTTACATTTACTGCCAGTTCTCAAATCAAGGGCGTAGAACGGAAGAGAAGAACTGGCAATAAACCCTCCGCAACTCTTTTTAATCGCCAAGTTAATTGTTTTACACAATGCTTGTAAGGAGCTGCAACAATTGTACCATGTTCCACAAGACATCTTAAGTAATTAATAATAATAACATAAATTAAAAACAAAGATTTGTTTAAGTATTGTATGATTTAGGATTTTCTTAAATAACATAATAAACCGCAAAGCCTAATCTTTAAGGCATTCCTCTCAAATCTTGATGACAATTCCTTTCTTTAATCTTTTCTAAGTACTTTTATTTCAAATATTAAATACTTAAGTGAAATCTTAAGCACGTCTTATCCAGTGTTGTGGAGTCGACGTTCATTTTGTACCTAAGTGCTTTGCCTAATAGCTGTTTAAACACTGCAGGTTTTCATTCTCTCCTTACCTGTTTCCAGGATATTTAACTCTTTAAGGAGATTACGTTTAAATTTTAGTTTAAGCCAAAAAAGTAAGATATTTATAATTAAAAACACTTCAAAACTTTTCTCACATACCAAAATGCATTATGTTTAATATGTAATTTTCTAGGAAAAATTACGTCCCCGTAGTCACACAATGACACAATCAACAAAAATTTAAAAACTTCTAAAAATAATACATCTCTCAATGTATTGATTTTAGAAGTTTATATTTAAATGCTAATGACGAATAAAACCCCAACTTATGTTTTGCGAGGATCTTAATCAAAATCAATTGGATGCAGTGCAAATAACTTTTACATATAAATAATAAAATCGGTGAAGCCCGACTCCATCTATAGAAGAAGTTACAGAGCACTAAGATATTTCTTACAAATATTTGACATAGTTTACAAAGGCATGTGCAATAAGAACCTAAGTAGTTTGTTAGACTTTCTATAATTTTTTTTTTAATATTACATGTTTCAGGGTATAAAATGTCGCTAGCTGTGTGCAGGGATCGATTGACGGGTTTAGATGCTCCAGAACAACTTTGTGATGGATCAAGCAAGCCTTCCTCGTCTGTGGTGCGATGTAACATGCATCCATGTCCATATAAGTAAGTATAGATGTACAAACTATTTCCGTTAAAATAAAGTGAGTTCCATAATTGTGGAAAGGAATAAAAAATTAAAGAAATCATTGTCAAAATCAATCAAATAAAAACCCTAACCATATTGAAAAAAAATATTAAAACTAATAATTTCTTCAAATAACATAAGATTGTTGTTATTGATTTTCATTTAGTCATCTGTCAAAGTGTGGTGTGTAATCTTCCCTCACATTTGAATTACGAATTTCCAAGCGATTCTATTAAACATACTCGTATATTGTCTATGCCATATTCCAATTTCAACTTTATAACGTTTGGCGCCATTTATACGTTTTAGTACATATAATGATTATAAACTAAATTATCGGATTTAACAGGCGCTAAACTTACCCAATTTAAAGGCGTTACAAATAAAACTATAACTTTTTTTATTTAACAGGTGGTACGTTGGTGAGTGGTCATCATGCAGCATGACATGTGGTGGTGGAGTTCGAACAAGAAGAGTTTTGTGTGCCAGGTCAGCAAATGTTACACGAGCTGACACTTACGATCCAGGTATTTTTTTAAATAATAATTCATTGCTTACTTTTTACACGCTTTATATTAGCTTCACCTGTATGTATGCATGTATGTATGTAACCGACTCCTTCGGACTCGATTTTGACCCACTTTTAACGGACAGATTTAATTCAAACTTTGCGCACCTGTCAAAGATCGATGACAATGCAATAATACGAAAAAAAAAAAAAAAAAATTAAACTAAAAAATAAATAATAGTAAAAAAATTAAAAAAAACCGAAAACTTTAGGGGGGAAAGGGGGGGGAAAAAAAAAAAGGGGGGTGGTGGGGGGGGGGGGGGCGCTCTGTGCCATATTTTTCGTCTATCGATCAACCCACGCTTTTTCACAATAATACCAGTATTTTTTGTTCATTACCATTTTCAGCCTTAGAATTTTTTTTCACTTTTTAGTTTGATGTGCTTTAAAAGCGTGTTTTTTAGTTTTTTTTAAACTATTATATTTATTAGAACTTAATTTAATTTCTAAGAGTGATATGTAACTCTAATGACACTTTTCGCTGAAAACAACGTTTTCGCCCGAATTACTTAATAAACGTTAATATTGTTTTGACAATATCATTACTGACAGAAAAAAACGGTAATGTTCATCACATTGATCGTAAAGTAATTACTTAATGATAAACTGAACGTAATTATAAATAGGTACTATTCTTTGTATGTTCAAATATTATATTTTTCCATTTGTATTTTCTCATATTGTGAACAATAGGCGATTTACGTAGTTGCAGTAAAAAATAAAATTGTTTGACAAAAGAATATCTTTTTTATTATAGTTCGTAATAATTATTTGTTTAATAAACTAATCTTTCTAGAATCAAGCTCAGAGCCGGGTTGCGTGACTCCACCCCCGCGGTCTACACAGGACTGTAATGAGCAAGAATGCCCGACTTGGATTGCTGGCGCCTGGTCAGGGGTGAGTCACCCTACAACGTATTACTTTTTATGCTAAGTGTTTTATCTTTATAGGCGTATTTACACATTCTAATGCAATGCTAGTCAAAAGTAATAATGTCGACCAAAGATTTTGAGATTCTACTTTTAAAATGTTATACTTGCTTGTAATTCTTTCGCAATTTCGTATTTCGAATATTCATTGCATAAAATATCTACTGAATATTAAATAAACATTTACTTTTATGTTTAAATAACAATTCGTAACTGTGTAACAGAGATTTGCGTAGCATGTATAGTATTTTTTAATGTTATACTTACTAAGGGCTCAACAATTTATTTTCTCTGTAATTATTGTAATTAATTCTCTCGATTATGCAAAATAAGTAAGTAAGCAATAAGGGTTCTGTTTATTTAACAATTGTATGTTTATTTTCATTAAATATCTCAATCATCAGTGCTCAGTATCCTGTGGTGAAGGAGTACAAGTAAGAGGCGTGGAATGCTCCCCTTCGGGTGGAATGTGTGATCCCTCCACCAGACCTGAGATATCCAGGTCGTGTTCCACCGGTATCAGCTGTCCAGCGTATCGCCAAATGGAGTTACCTGAGGTACAGAATACTGATTCATACAGATTACAGAGTGACTTGTAATACAATCCCTTATTTATAAAAACTTAATCAGACTTAGTCTATCAGTCATTCATCCAAACTTTTTTTATCACAGTATAAACTCCATTCCTGTATGAAACGCCTAAGTTAAAACTAAGTTAAGAAATAGGTATTGCCCGCCCGATTTCGTTCACGTCGAAACTGGTTTTAATCAATGGCATTAAAATATGTTGTTAATTTCTAAAGATACAATTGTATATATAAAGACGGGAAGTTTGTATATATATATCATTTTAATTTGATTGTATCTTAACTTATATAAGCTTTAAGTGTTCTCTATATATATACGTAAATATATAAAACAAAGTTGGGTTAGTTACACCATTTATCAGAGAACGGCTGTATCAGTGTTGATGATTTTGAATCTAGCTCCGAATGGAATAGTAAATATTAAAATATTGAAAAGATTCACGAAGAAATCTTGAAACAGGAAACAAAAGAAATCTAACAACTCTTAAGGAAACAGAAATATAGACAACTTAACATTTGCTTTTTTTTTGCGTTGAACTAAAATCACTAACTTCATCTGCTTTAGCGGTACGACGTTTGCCGAGTCAGCTAGTTTACTATATTTTTTACTTGTTTTAACTAATGTATAGGTTATTCTTTTTCAAACGAAACTGATAAGTACATGGTAACAATAAAAAAATTAGTACATTCTAAAAACTTCGCCATTCCAAATTATAAAAGAACATTCCTTATAGGATGATATAGAAGATCTGCTACCAGGAGTAGTATATCACACTCAACCGCTAATACAGCCTTATCCACCACCTCAAGCGAAGGCTGAACAGCTCATTGGAGAACCGGATGTTCCAGTAGAGGCTACGTAAGTTTCAAATTATTATCATCGTGTGTGAACGAATTTGTTATATTTGAAAAATGAGAAACAAATACTGTTGTGTACAATTATTTTGCTGAGTGAGTTTTCGATAGACATGGAGCTCGATTATGTGTAAAAATTAGGAAAATAATTTTGCGTTACGTCATAGTAAAAGTGCTATTTTAGCAAAAGAATTATTATCTATCCTAAAGGTTAGAAATCGTGGATTTTTCTATAGAAATATTACAGTTTTTTTCGTTTGACACGTAGCAATTACCCTAATATAAAAACTAGTATCTTTAAAGGCGATTACGATAAGTACGAGTAATCTAAATACTCTAATGTTTTTTTTAATAAATGGCACTGCTTTTAACTGTGAGTAGAAAAATACTTAAAACTTAGAGAGAAACAATATTGGCTTGTTATTAATTTATTTAAACACCGTAGACCCTTATTCGAAAGTTTTTTTCAATATAAAACACAGGCGCGAACATACTATTTTTACAAAATAAATTTAAAAGAAACAACCGATATATAAATATTAATTATGCTATCATAAAACAGAAATTCTACCTTCACCACATTTACTGATTTCAGGAAAAATTACTCGTGAATAATTTACTTTATGAGTGCAAACATTAATTACAGTTAATTAAGCCATACATATGGGTCAATAAAATATTAAAATGCATTATATTTGTACATTAATAAAATGTCTCCTATTACACAATATTCACTGTTATTATTACATAAAAAATACAATTATTGGTACTGTAACTGTACCAAATACCAAACATTTTAAACTTTTAACGCTCTGTGTAAAAACTACTGCACAGAATTTGATACTTCGTAGTTATAATATATTAACTTGTGTTAGACTTAAATTGTATTAGCCGAAGCTAACTGTTGTGAAATCGGAACTCTATAATTCTAAGATGCTTCCTTACACTATAATCATAAACAAATTAACATGATAAATTTTTAAATTAAGATATAAATTTAAAAATTGAACTACGCAGTTAAACAATTAAATACAATAAGAATGATTATAATTCTAGCATGCATTAATATAAAATGGTGTTTGTCTTCAATAGATGAGAGTATTTTGTTATTGTTTTCAGCAATTTCAAAATATTCTTTGCGTGTGGCTGGTTGTATGTAAGGTATTGTACCTTCGACTCCAGTATTTTCACTTTTCAGAACATCACATTTAACAAGGAATGACATTACCCTTTCATTATACACAAATCCAATGGCTGGTAGTTTTTTTAGCTTCGTCATTCAATAATCGCTTTTAAATATTCGAACAAATTTGTTAGAATATCGATTCGGATTAATAAAAATCACAACTCTATTATACTTTTTATCAAACTCGGTGTGAATTTGTTATCACACTTAACATAGGAAACTTGACCTAATTTTATTTTATTTTCTCTGTTGCACTGGTCAGTTAAGCGTGTACGTAATCTTCGATTTTTACAAGGACCCTTCATTCTATCACGGACCATTGACTTCAACTGTATGATTTTCCTTTTTCTCTACTCTATGCACTGCACAATAAAGTTTGAATTTCCTCGCACATATTACACCATCTAAAAGTTTATTTTCTGTTTTAGCTTTGATACACTTTTCCGATACACAGAGATACTAAACATTTGGCACTTATACAGACACGGAAACTTTCGGAAACTTTTCTTCACGTTTGATTAGAAGAGGCATTATCTGTCCAGATCTCAAATTATTATTTACATACATACATTGGTGCACATACTTCTACATATGCCAGCCAAATCTGATTGGTAGATTTGTAAACGTATGTTCTCGCCCTTAACACCTTGCATGCGTTTATATGAGTGAATGATAATAGTTATTTCAGTAAATAGATAATTTTTAATCAATTGAAATATCAAGGTTGACGATTAATCTTGATGTTTCAAATAAATTTTTAATAATATACACATTTTTAAACTAAATCTCTAAATAATCTTAAAAACCTATTCAACTATGCTAAACAAAATAACTTTTGTAGCTACATCAAGGACGATGAATGGGGCCCGTGTAGTGTTACTTGTGGTGAAGGATGGAGGAAAAAGGAGGTCCACTGCAAGATATTTCTAGAATTCAGTAGAACGATAGCGAAACTACCAGATAGCAAGTGTATGGGTCCTAAGCCTACCGAGGAAACACAGAGATGTGTCATGGAACCCTGCTCGATGGCATATGGAACATCGTTTGGAGACTCCAGTGCCCCGTCATATGGAGGGGATAGGTAAGGAGACATTCTCTATTATGTAGAATGAGCATTTAGTTCTTTAAATTGTCCTGCCTCGTTTCTCATAATATACCGCAAATGCTATGTAATAACAGTTAAGCATAGATTTCTTATAAAAATAACTTTTAATAAGTTAAAAGAGAAATAAAAAATTAGGTCTTCAGTTTATATCAACTTTATTTACATAGTTGGAGCTATATTAAGCAGTTTCTCTAATACACCGTTTTCACAAGATTCTCTGAGAACATCGTTAATTCTTGCTTTAACTAAACTATCCTTTTCTATATCTGGTAGGTTTGTGAGATCCATTTCTGATTTTCGATTACTATTAAGTTCATCAAGGTGATTTGCTATTATCTTGATTTCTATTAACGTTATTAAAAATCCAAAAACTTTGTGTTCTTCGATATCATTCCTTAGTTTGTTTTCTGTGTATATACTATTGACATCGATGTCAAATAGATTTAAAAATCTTTTAAGACTGTCATAGTATATGTTTATTAGTTCATCTATGTGCAATGATCTGAACTCAGAATCTGTACATATGTATAGAAAATAAATGATATCAGTTGCAGGGTTTGCGTATCTCAATGTTTGGAAATCCAAAAAACATAATTTTGTTTCACCGTCCTGAAATATAAAATCAATTTTAGTTATCTACAGGGCTATATTAGAAATATACTCAAAACTTAAATAAAATCGCTACTATAGCAGTCAGTAAAATATGAATTTATTAACCGTTGCTTATAATTATGTAAAATAACAGCAAAATACCTAAGTAAACTATAATAATATAGGTATTATTCATTCTACTTTGAAATCTAAATCATTTCTATTTTAATCTACAAACTGAATGAGACTGACTAACTTTACTCTAATTCCACTGTATCCTGTTTTGAAGTTAAATCTTCAGTCACGAGTTAAATTGGGTTTTTCAAAATGTAAAGTCAATTATTTATTTATTATATAAATGTTATATTTACTCGCAATAAAATTATTAAAAACTCACCGACTGCTTGAACAATATATTGTTGATCCAAAAATCACCATGGCAAAACACATTTATTTCTTTGGGTTTCACATAAATTTCAAGTAATCTTAATAGTTTTGGTTTTATATTCTCCAATTTATTCTTTATCTCTATATTTTCTATAACATTTAAAGACATTTCAAACGAGTCTAAAAAATAGTCTTTTAATTGGCTTTTATTCAAAAAGCTGTATTGAAATACCAAATCATTAAAATTTTCAGCAAGCTCATTATATAGCTCAGTATTATTTTTCTTAAAGACGAAAGATAATCCGTGAAACTTCGCTAACTCTGAAAAAATTTTACCTACACAACGAAAAGATAAATTATTTTCTGTAGCTATGTTAACTGTAAATCCATTTACCAATAAATCTTCGAATATAAGAAGTTCATTCCCTTTTTCTACACTAGAATATATACACATTGGTAAAATCAGTCTTCTGGATTCATTTATATCATTCTGTATGATTAAAAACTTGTCTATTATCTGAGTATATGCTTTTACTTCCCTACAATGTAATTCACTGAACAATTCCTTTCTAGCTGTATTAATCAGAGTTTTAACAATAACACTGATGCGTTTATCACTTCCATTTTCTATAAGAATCACTCTGAATATATTAGCGATATATCCATTTCCATTCAAATAATCGACATGGTAACTGAATTCTTGAATATTTCTTATTTTGGCAACGTTTTCTATAGCACTATGTAATTCTACACAATTAAATTCATCCGGTTCGCTAACATTGACGTCAAGAGACATTTTATACGATTGCCTCTTGTAAACATTTATCAGTAATCATTTATATCACAATTTTTTAGATATGATATTTTGCTATCACAATTTTTTACTTTAGATATACATTACAAGATTTCCGTTATCAGTGTAAATATTAGTTCTTAATTTTTCATGTTTAATATTGCTTAATATGAAAGTTATTATTTATTTGAATAGTACGATATATGACTAAATCTAGTAAAACGTGCGAGTTAATAGAATATAAATTTACTTCTTTAAGTAAGAATAATGAAGTAATTAATGAAATCCTAAATACGTGGAACCTAATTACCAGTATTAAAACTTAACGTTTATTAACCCGTTTTTATGTAAAATAATTCAAATTAATATAGTTTTATTATTTATAGTCATAATATAAATGTCATTATTTCAGCAGATCTCTAATATTTGGAACTTCGAGTAACATTCGAGTAGCTCCGGGTTCGCCCGGGAAATCCTATTCGTGGAAAGAAAAGGGATATACTAGTTGCAGTGCGTCTTGTCTAAGTGGTGTACAGGTAATATAATATATGGAATATATGTTTTTTATTACTGTAAGAACTAAATTGTGTACCGTGTGGGTTGAATGATGAATGAATGAATTCTGAATACACGATAAGGTTACCACTTAACTTGTCTCTGGGTAGATTTGGTGATATAGAATTCAATTCAATATAGAACAAATATTACGTATGTCAAAAACCTTGAAACCTTTAGATAATGGTAGTATTTTAGTCTTATATATACAATAATAAGAATTTAAAATATATACCTATACATAGTTCCTAAAGCAATTAATTTTTTACATATGATATTTGTCATCTTTTACAACGCTCAAGACACAGTTTTGACATTAGGCACGAATACGGAAATATAAATGTATAATTTTTTTAAATATTTCCTTAAGATACATTGAATTTCTTTGAAACTATTCTGGTAATAAACGTTTACTTAAACTAGTGTCTCATAAAAGATAATAAGACCACTATTAACCTCAAATGGTTATTAAATGTTTTCCCTTCAGTGTCAGTTTAAACTTAATTATTGTAACTAATTTAAGCTTTAACTAATTCACTTGTTTAATTTGTTCAATCCAAAGAAAATTAAATACATCATTCTATATAGGAATTATAAATCTTAATCTATTTTGGGGACTTTTTAAACCTTACGCCATTTAATCTTTACTAACATTAATTTCTTTTCATACAAATTTCTGACATTAAAGTGAAATTACATTGAAAGAGTTTACTATTAGGTATATTATTAGACCTGGTAGCTCCATAATAAATGAGAAAATCGATATAAACATGCTTCATTGACTCGGAAACATAAATAATTCATAGGCTAATGCTTGAAATGTCAATCCTTTGGGTAAAGTGTAATTGAATACTTATTACGTATAGTGTTGATTACGCGTATTACCGAAGTATTCAAATTTTTAAGTATTTTATCTTAATTAATAAAAAGTATATACGGGTAACTTATTAACATAACTTCAAAGCTATGGTTCGTTTGGCTCAACCAATGGTGGGCGGGACTTTTTCTTTTTTCACTTTCATATCCGTTTCATTAAGAATTTTAATTTCATATAATAAGCTGCCTTCGGTATCTTCTGTGTATATAAGCCCGAAATAATCCTCTCCTGTTTTGCCTTAAATATTTCAGGTTAAACGCCGAATACCGATCCACAGAGGCGGGTAACTTAATGTTGTTTGATATAATTTGTATTGTAACATTTATTAATGATTATTATAGGAACTAATTATCCAATGCGTGAGAGACGAGGATGGGAAAAATGCATCTCCATACATGTGCGATCCACTTACGAAGCCAGAAAACAGAGTCAGGACCTGCAATGATCACCCGTGCCCGCCCAGGTATTAAAACCTATTATAAACATAACTACTGGTATGAAGACTATCGAAGGGAGCATAAATACTAAATATTCTAGCTTAAAAAACCCCCACTCATCTGCTACTCTGTGAAGCTACTCCATATCGAGTACACCCTATTAAATTCGGGTCAATAGTTTTTGCAAGCTTACATTATATTCCTGAGCATCTTTTATCTGTAAGCACTGGCTACAATTTTATTATGCGTATAGATTATCTGTATAACATTTTTACAGCTCACATCTCACTCATATAAAATTCTTTATGGCACTAGTAGAAGCTTCACAGGAATATCCGGTTATTATATCAGTGTTGCGCGTTTGTTTTTATTATGAGCTAAAAGCGAGAGAGGGTAGAAATACTTTAACACGTTCACGGCACATTAGGTTACACTCAACACGTGAAAATACCGTTAAATACGCTGGCAACACTGTTGCTCATTTATAAAGTGCTTTTAAAATTTCTTGTTTTCACATTTTAGATGTATGTGTGGCGTCAAAAGAACTTTCGCAATAACATTTGAAAGTTCGGTAGAATTTTAGTATTTAATGCGAAGTTTTGTGTAAATTGTCAGATTTTGGTGTTCTTTTAAGATTCTAAATACATCAACTTCTATTTCACGCTTTTTGTACGTCATTCTTATAATATATAAAAGAATACGAACAAGTGCGTATACGTAAGCAATATTGCTGCGTCACTTCAATTTTGAATTGGTGCGTCATTAACATTAACTGTATTAACACTAAGAAAAACTGTAAAAATAGCAGAAATAGTTTACAAGCAATTTGAAAAGATTTCTTGCAACTTATCAATTCTAACGAGGTTGTCCCTTAATACAGGTGGAACTACACAGACTTTTCCCAGTGCACAAAGTCTTGTGGCATTGGTATACAGACGAGAGAAGTCACATGTATTCATGAGGTCGGTATATGTACTTAATATGAATGTATATTTTAATAAATAACATGTTGCACTGACCATAAAAATCTTATTTTTCCTAATATATTATATTGAATACTTTTCTCTTACCATCTTTTGAACATTCCTTTAATATAATTTGAATGTTTTATAATTATTCTTAGGCTTTACAGTAATTAAACAATCAAGGAATAAAACATAATTTCTATACTTTTTTATTGAACTAGGGGCATTAGGGCAGGAGGCTCACCCGCTGTTGAGTGATACCGCCGCCCATGGACCCACATTGCCAGAAGGCTCGTACGTGCGTTGTGGCCTTTTAATAATTGATACGCTCTTATCTGCACCATAAGTTGAATTGTTTCGGAAATACTTCATTAGGCAGCTGGTTCCAAATAGTGGTGGAAAAACTAATAGCATACTAAACTCTTAAAAAATAGTAAAGTTATAGTATATTAAATATTATTCTCCACCTCAGGTAACCCGGGGGGGAACAAACACAGTAGTGGTACCCAACAGTATGTGCCCCCAGCCACCTCCACCTGATCGTCAATACTGCAACGTCCTTGACTGTCCTGTGCGATGGCATAGTGGAGACTGGACCAAGTGCTCTAAAACCTGCGGAGGAGGGGTCAAGCAAAGAGAGGTAAGACAAAGACCCTTCTATAAAAATAACGTTTAATATAACAAAATTTTAACTTAAGTACTTGTTGTTTTGTGGAGCACTTGCTGTGATGAAAATAGCCTGATCGGTTCCTAGATTAAAGGCAGTGTAATATATACTAATATATTATTAAAGGCAAGAAATACTAAAAAATACCTAGCTATTGTGTTAATTTGACTACAAATTGGTCATAAATTTACTGATGTACAAATTTGAAATTATATATAATATTATAATAATATTTCGGTGACAATTTCGACAAGCGTACGGCGTATAATGTATTGCCCGTGTTACCCTGAGGCTTAACGTATACGATGAGCCATACAATAGATTAATATCATTTTTATTACTACATATGTTAGGATTATAATTTTATCCTCTCTTAGGATTTATTTTTTAATCTCCGTCATCCATTCACATCACAAAATATAAGCTAATTTTAACTACATTGCGAAGATAAAACCTTTTATAAGACATAATAAAATCTACATATATATAAAAACGATTTTCTCTTCGTTTGTCTCGCTAATACTCGAGAATGGCTGGACTGGTTTGATTAATTATAATCTTGAAATATTTGTGGTAGTTCAGGGAAAGTTTAAACGATGGGAAACATAAATATGTAATAAGAAAAAAACATTAATAAACGACAATCGAATTTTTTAATAAATGTCTTTTCTGCCCTGCGATTCTGTAACTCACTTTTCGAACTCACACAGCGGTTTTCGAATCGCCGGTCGCTCTCAAATCAGTCGTGAAGCAGTCATTTTATGATTTGGCATTCTGAAAAGGTGGAAGCTTGTAGTTTATTGTCTATTAGAATGCCAAATCATAAAATGACTGCTTCACGACTGATTTCAGAGCGACCGCCGTTGCGAAAACCGCTGAGTGAGTTCGAAAAGTGAGTTACAGAATCGCAGGGCTGTTTTTAGACATTAAAAATTGTCACTTGGTTGTCATATATTTATAGATTTCTTCAGAAATTTGTTTCATAGCTCTATTATGAGTGTCGATCACTTTAAAAATGATCTGTTTTAAAAATCTTGTATTAATAATAATAATAATAATAATTTATTTATTGCAAGAATATGGTACAAATGCTAAGGTGATACAATCATAAATCGTTCGCATATTCTGCCACACACGATGGCGCGCAAATTCGTCCCAAAGAATTTTACAATATTATTCAAAGCCAATTCCTATATTATCCAGCCTATTATATTATATACATTTCATCATTAATTTTATATCATTTACGGTGTTTCATGCAAATAATCATTTATTGAATAGTAAACTTTATCCAAAAGCAATTCACTAAGTCGCTTTTTAAAGAATCTAGACGGAAGATCTTTTAATTCTTTTGGTAATTTATTGTAGACTTTAATTGCCATATAAAAGCTGTTTTTCCGAAACAGTTCCAGATTGATTTTTGTCACAGCCAAATTCTTCCCATGTCTTCTTCTTACTTCAACTTCTACATTCGACTTAAAAATATGTATGTTTCTGTGCACGAATAAGGATATCTCTAAAATATAAATACATGGAAGAGATAAAATTTTGAGCTTCTTAAATAAAGGTACGCAACTATCAAGACAGTTTGCTCCACAAATTGCTCTAATACATTTCTTTTGAGCCTTAAATACCCTATTTACTTCGACTGAATTTCCCCAAATTATAATTCCATATCTAAGTATAGATGAAACATATGCATGATAAGCAGCTAATACCGTAGCATGGTTAACAGTTTCCCTTAGTCGCTTTAACACAAAAACAAAACTGTCTATTTTGTTCTGTAATTTTTCAATATGTGACTTCCAACTACAAAATTTATCTATCGTTATACCTAAAAATACACACTCGTTCATTATGTCTAGTTTATTGCTTTTATATTGTAAGTCTAATTGTGTTTTAGAGTTATATGTCTGAAAATGGATTATGTTAGTTTTGGTCATGTTTATTTGTAGATTATTGGAATTCATCCAGTTAATGGCGTCGTCTAGAGATTTAATTAAATTGTTTTTTAAGTCTTGTTCGTTTTTACTTTTTATTATAAGTGTAGTGTCATCAGCAAATAGTATACAGTTCTGGTGTATAGCATCTGGAAGGTCATTTATGTATGTTAGAAAAAGTAGCGGGGCCAAAATACTGCCTTGAGGTGTTCCGTACTCATTTTTCTTAAAATTGGATCTATAGGTTTTTTGCTCTAGTTTACAAATCTTTGTTATTTCCACATATTGCATTCTATTTTCAAGGTAACTTTTCACCCAGTTATAAGCATTACCTCTTATTCCGTAGCAATCTAATTTTTTTAAAAGTCTTTCATGACATACAAAGTCAAAAGCCTTTGTCATATCTAGAAAGATGCAACCTATAAGCATTTTATCATTTAAGCATTCAGTAATTTGTTTGACTAGGGAAAAGCACGCAAGGGTGGTAGAACAATTTTTTCTGAAACCAAACTGTTCTTTTTTTTAAAATATCGTATGATAAAAAAGAAATTCTCTATTTTATTATACATTACTTTTTCGAAAATTTTAGATAATATGGGAATTAAAGTTATTGGTCTATAATTAGTCATTTTTGTTTTTGCTCCTTTTTTTATGTAATGGTTTGATAATTGATATTTTTAGTTTTTCAGGAAAGATTCCTTCTACTATCGATAGATTAATTATGTATGTCAGTGGATCAAGTAGGTATAAAGCGCATGATTTAATTGTTTTGGTATCTAAATTATCGTATCCTGTAGATTTTGTATTTTTTAGCGATGTAATAATTTTTAATATATCCGTGTTATTTATGGGGGAAAGAAAAATACTTTTATGATTTAGAGGGATTTTGGCTTCTGGCAAATTGTTTGTTTTATTTTTTGTAGGCAGTGAGGTAAAATAGTCATTAAATAAGTTGCATATTTCATGTGGTGATTCATATGTTTTGCTATCAATATTAATTGCTTCTATTCCTGAATAAAATGTCATGTCTCGTGTATTTGTTTTAATTACATTCCAGGCTGCTTTAGTTTTGTTTTTTGCGCAATTTATGTATTCTACATTAGTAAGCTGATGGGACTTATGTATACATTTTTTTAAAATAGATGAGTATTTATTATATGCAGATTTATTTTGTTTTTTATTGTGTTTATTTAAATGATATTTTAGGTATAACGTTCTTTTTCTTATACAACATTTTTTTAGCGCTTTAGTAAAGAATCTATTTTTGATAGGTTTGAATGTATTTTTAATTTTTAAAATCGGAAAACATAAATTGTAAAACAAAGTTATAGTGTCATGGAAGTTGTCGAATGCTTCATTTGTTGTGGTGGAGCTGTATACGTCCGAGAAGGTGAGGCTTGATAGACACTATTAGTTTTAACATAAATATACGTAGGTGATACGAAGTTCATGGGGTCATCTAGTATATTATAATACTCATTAATTATAATATGTGTTATATATTTAACAAAATACATAAGTGCACAGGGCAGCGCGCTATTGAAAAACGCACCGCTCATGACAACAGTTTTAACTCACAATAACACTGATAAAATTTACTGTTATATAATTACTCATACCGACATATTCCGACAACGTTGTCTCCTTTAAGACTTCTACAATGTGAAATTGGAGTAAATATGAGAAGGCAGTAAAAAGTTTACTCAAAGAAACATCCTTAACGGGGTTTTCTATTTTATACTATGTAGCTCAAAGGCTAATTAGTTAAGTCTATATATGAAGCTCGGAATAATGCAATTTACGGGAGACGCCGAGCTTTATACATAGATAGTTAATAACGAATTTAACTACCTCTTCCGTCGCATGGAATTCTAAAATTTACTCTAATTTACTCCAGATATACTTATGATTTTAATTAATTATTTGTCACGTTTACCATAATTTGGAGTTAGTTGAATAATGTCTACAAAAGCTTCCTAATTCATTGCGCCTTATTAAAATCAATATTTTATTTTATTTATTTATTTACACTTCGTTGCATTACAATATAACAATTTAACATAATTAAATGTAAAAGAGGGCAACTGGCGGCCTTATCGCTTTCGAGCAATCTCTTCCAGGCAACCACTGTGAGAAAAGAAAAAAAAAATATTTTCGTATAAGATAGAGATTTTATATTAAAAAAATAGTGAACCTATGAATGACCATTCAATCAAGCAGACTCAATCCTGGGTCATGTAAACATTCTATTTTTTTTAGTTAATTCTTGTTCGTACAATAAAACTTCAAATAATTGTAAATTATTTTTCATTGCTCTTATTTTACATAGAAATCATTTTTATTAAAGTTTATCATTTTTATCTATTTCTCCTAGGTTATATGTAAACAAGTAATGGCCCAATCTCATGTGGTAGAGCGCCCTCCCTCACAATGCAGCTCTCCACGACCTGCTTCAACCAAACCCTGCAATAGTCGACCATGTCTTTTGGACACTTCAGCGCCAGAAATATCCCTGGCTAACTCGTCATATATTCAACATGACCCTAAGAAGAAAAAGGTAACTCCTAAAAATTTAAAATAGCGCAATGGATTTGTACAAAAATACATCATAAAAATTTAGTTTTTAATTTAAAAAAGTTTCTTTCTCTTTTGTTTCTTTGTACGTAATTCATGTGAATTATGCCGTCACAAGTAACAGCAATATAGTAGTATTATCTGTAATATTTTTTAGTATATTTAATATATGTCATGTATCTTTATTTGACTACATTATTAGTTTTCATTAAAGTCCTAATATTTTTTGGTCGACATAAAAATACAATTATCTAAATCACCAGATTCAACTATCTTGTTTGTCGGATGCATATTTTGAATATACATTTTTATTAACCTTTTATAGTTTCAGTGAAATTATTTGATATTGGGCGTTAAATACTGTGATACCTTTAGTAAGAGTAATGTGTACAAAGGCTTGTTATTTTATGGAATAAATGTATTTGTCTCTGGCTTCTGATGAAATAAAATCTTTTGTAAGCCTGCATGAAGACTTCAAATAATGAAAGAATTGTAAAAGATTCTATTTTGAGGTATTTTCTATTCAGTCTTTTCTCAACAGGTAACAGTTAAAGTTGGTGGATCAGCGACAATATTTTATGGGACTCAAGTAAAAATAAAATGTCCTGTTAAAGGATACAATAGAACCAAAATACAGTGGGCGAAGGATAGTCAAATAATATCGAAGTCTAAAAAGTATAAGATATCGAAAAAGGTAAGCAGATACGTATACACAACGAAAATTGTACGAACCATTTAACAAGTTACGCGATTGTTTGAGTTATTCCAATATAAATATTTTATCTTTCAACTCTCTAAAGAGCGCGCAGACAATTATAACTTCTACAGTGTCTTCAACTCAATCCCTACATTTTTAATCCGGCACAATTCGCTTATTAAATTGTGAATTTCCTTTAGAATTCAAATTTATTCAACTCACACAATTAGTTTCACTGTTTTTGCCAACTATTGCCTTAAAGTAAACAACAGGACTCTGTTGTTCATCTCATAAATAAACAAAAGCATTCGACTGAGTAGACTACACTTTGCTCAGAGGATTTGTGTAATATTTCAAAATATTATCAGAGAAATGTATAACAAGTAGCCATTTTCTGCTTGAAACACTTACACTATTAAGCATCTTAACGAGAGTTTTTATATTCGAGATCAGCGCAGGTGTCTCGAAGGGATCGTAATTAGATCCTTAATTAGTTATACGTCTCGTAAGTTATAGCAATAGATAACAATTAGCTCGTAGCTAAGAAAAGTCGATAGTGTTTGCAAAACTCGGGGTTGGAAATAATGAATAATATATAATTAATAATTACTAATATAACTCAAATTTGTGTGTACCAAAAATGTTAAATGCGCTAATTTTTAATTTTTTCTTGAGAGCGGGTAATGCTATCGCTGAGGTTAGCAACTTTGAAACTTTGTTTTTATTAAATAGAAGTTGTTATAAGACGCATTTTAAGATTTTAATTGTGTTTTGTTTGTAATATTTTAATTCACGTGCAAATAGCACTATATAGAAAATATTTTACTGAAAGATATGACACATATTATTGCGTTGTGTTGACAGATGTGATTTTTTAATTATATTTAATATTCTAGGGCGCACTACGGATAACGTCCTTATCACTACGAGATCATGGAGTCTACACATGCGTAGCTGGAAGATCGAGTGCAAACCTTACATTATTGGTCAAACCTAGGCCTGGAGAATTCCCTTCCAGTGAGGAAATAGAGAGGCACAAAGCGTTAGACGAGCCGTCTTCACCATTGGCAGACCGGTGCGTATATCTATCAGAATTAATTTAAAAAAAATTACGTAATTAGTTTATTTACTACGAATAAAATAAGTAATACATTCCTACCAATAAACCAATTCATACTTAGATAATTTATATATTATACGTATTTAGCCTTTGAAGAGCCTTTTTATATACATAAGAAATAGTAAATTAACAGTATATTTTAAATATATTCCGAAGTGTTTCTTTTCTTGGAAGCCCTTGTATCTTTAGAAATATCTCAGCTACGGTATTTTCTTAGTAGAGAATCTATTAGCGCATATCTTTTAGTCCATCTTTAAGTAAACATTTCTATTTTAGCTAATTAAATTCAGTTCAGCAATTTAAAACATTTCAATTCAATTGTCCACCCAAATTTCGTTCTCCAATGATTTCATTTGTTAAATATTGGCTTTAATATTTTATAGGAACAAAACCACACACCGCGAATCAACACAAATTCAGTGATTGTTAAAACAATAAACCATAAATAAAATATGTTTATTTGAATGAAAATATGATTAATTTTTTAAACTTTTGCGTCACCAATTTGAGCTAATTTGTGTACGAACGTAAATACAAAAGTAAATATTTTTTACTACACCGCACTACTGTAATTTTTTTGTCTGTTGTAAAATTGTATTACTAAGTAAAGTCCAAAACTGTTTTTTGAAGTTATACTTCTTTAGGCGCGTTATGAAAAATTGATGAGAGTGAAATTTTACGATGCGCGCGCACCGTGACACAAAATTAACAGAATGAAGTTAGTGGCGCATGTTCACTGTGTATTTATAATATTTATCCACATGCTTTGAGTTTCTACATTTAGAACACGTGTTTTCATTTTGTTTTCATTATACAAGTGCGAATTTTATATGTGCGTCTGAATTATATACAGAAGTGATTTAAATTGAATATATATTTTGATTTAATCAATACTAATTAATATTAGAAAATAATAATAAATATAAATATAATATTAATAAATATTAATTTATTTAATTTTTCAAATGTAAACTGAACTTTATTGACTATAATGACTCCTATTCCAGTCTTTGATTATTTAATTGTAATTAATTATTTGCATGCAATCAAAAACTATTTTTAATAATGCCAAAGAAGTATAACTTCTTACGCGCGTACATTTTTTTCATTAATATTTCAATAATCACATTATTTATCTAAAACAAAACCCAAATATTCCTGTTGAATGATATACGAATGGTATAGTATTAAAAGCTGTTTAACTTAATAAAATAACTTTTCCCTGCTACAGGATTTGTAGTAAAATATATCTTAAAAAATATAAATAACAATAATTAGTCAATACAAAATATGTTATATTTAAGTTTAGGAGCCTCTTTTTTTATCAATTCACGTTTTAACGTTTATTTTTATACAGAGCCGATGGGCGCTATCGGGCAATGATAGGCGGAAGATCAGACGATCAATCGCATGAACAGAGACCGGGAGAACAGAAGAAGAATTATAAGGGTAGACAAAAAGGTATGTTTACCATGTACATATATATATGACTTTATTCACGTAGAAACAGAAGAGCGAACGTATCGCCCTTATACGTATCCCATACGACATGTACAATACGTTTTCGACATAGGCTGAATTATCCCTAAAAAAACGATACAAATGTTATATAGGTATAAAGATTTTACTGGTAAGAATGCCAATTATAAAAATAGTGATAAGTTTACTAGAATAGAACATACGCATAATGTTAATACTCGGAACAAACTCAGGCTGCAATTTCCCCATACTAGAGTATCTAAAGTTAGTCATTGTTTTTTGGGAAAAGGGATACTTTTCTTTAAAAAATCCCAGAGCCTCTTTTATCTCTGCCTTTTAATAAATTCAAGAAATGTATTAAAGCTGCGTAAAAAGGCTTACTATAAAGTTAACGATTATCTAGTTGATAAAAGGGCCTGGGCCTAGTGCTAGATGGGCTACTTCTAATTAATTTGTTTTAAAATAAATGTTGTTTGCTATAGTCATTTTGTATGATGATTTGCTATTTTAAAAGAGTATCGAGAGTTTTTTACGCCGGCTTTTTCTCTCGGCCTACACCCTCTGTCTTCTTTGCCGATGAGTAGGGATGTCTACCGATCCAAATTTAATGAAGTGGAATAAGTGATACCTGTATCTTATGTTCCATAATAAACATATTTTATTTTTTATGTTTATGCTTGAATAACATATTTTATTAAAGTTATTGCGAACTAACACTTAGTTATTTTACTATATTATATTTTTTTAATATAAGCATTGTTTTTGACAGGCAAAGTTGATAAAGTTCGAGACGCGTTATACGGAAGTGCAAGTACGAGTACGAAAGCCTCGCCGAGCTTCAACTCGCAGGCCCGAGACATCTATGATGAGAATGAGGTAAAAACTGGTTAAATAAATGAAATTCGTTGTTTAAATGAAATTTAAGGTATTCTGTTTTCTGTGTGATAAAAATATTTTCTAAAATATACGAAATTCAAGCTTATGCATCAACATTGTAATAAATAGTTTCGTTTAGAGGACCTAAAGAGAAATTTATCTCACCTTTTCAATTATAACATATTGACAACTCTGTATTGAACATTGCGTAATTTTTAATAGTTATCTAGTTATATTCAAATAATACTATGTTAAAAAAGGGGAAAATCAATTCAATAGATTTTATGACCATCATCAAAAATATAAATATTTTGACAAAGAACCTTGAATCCCCAAGTGAAATACATTCAATAATAATTTTACAACCGCTATAAAGGCAGCATGAAGTTTATTGCCCATTTTACGGTTTAACTTTGGAAACTAGGGATTAGTAATCGTTAGAGGTCATCTCAAATTGGTGTTACAAGTTACGTACGAATATTTCAGCTTGCTATATAAGCCTTATGTATTTATTTTGTTCTTTAAAAAAAATTATACATCACTGTTACTAGGTTATAAGATATAATAGACCCTTAGTTTGTAAGCTAATTATTATTGCCTTTGCCTTTCTTTTTTAAATGAATATACTAAGCGGGAAGAGATTTAGTCGATTCTCGGATTTTAACAATGTCACATCTCTATTTCCGTTTTCTAACAACATAATTTTTTTAAGAGCATTTCATATTCCCGTATAGCGATACATACGTTCGTTCGTATCCGAGTGTAACATAGGGAGGCGTAGCTACTATTTTCTATCACTACCGACTCATAAGAAAATACCTTTTGAAATATTGTTTCATAAGCACGATGAAGTTACAATACAAAATAGAGAAATCTTTACGCGGAAAATGCTACGTGCAAAATAAACATAACATTTCAGAAACAACGTTCCATATTTTTAGAACTCTCAACTTTTATCTCAAAAATACATTGAAAGAAGGAAAGGTTTGCTCTTTTTGCTTATAAAACTGAAGTCCTGTAATCTCTAGATACACCTGCCTGTCATGGGACAGATTTATTTGTGCATTCGCTTCATATTTTTATATTGCGATGTTTTCCTTTGTGTTTTCCAAAATGGCCAGTGTACAGTTTTGAGTCATTCTAAAATTACTCTATTGCAAACATTATATATTATTTATGACTGTTATAACTATTGGTATAATATATTAATAGTGAAATCATATACTTCAACGCTTCAACGCCCTTTGTTCAAAATATTTCTTTAGATATTCCCAACGGACAATAATTCCTTTCAACTATACGCTCTTAACGTTAGCAATAACCATAAACAATTTCCACGCTGCTTGGATTAAGGAGAGTGCTATATCATCCCGGATGCTCCCGCCCAATAGCAGTGGCGCCTCACAACTCTTGCCGTGTCTGCATTTCCTTGTCATGCAACTTCAGGTGAGGAGTTACCAGAATAGAGCATGCAACGTCTGGAGAAGGTTTATTCTGGCCCCCTTTGGGTTCTAACAACAGAATCGCATGATTATCTGAATTGGTTTTTGTACTTTATATTGGTGGCGTTGTAAACCAAGTTGACTGATTTGTTGTAGTTTTGTCTTTGAACAGCTATAATTGATATGTGCAGATGTTCTGGAATTTTCAGACCACAGGCAATTCGAGAGGTCAAAGAATGGCAGATCCTGTTTTAATGTACCAAAATTACGGACCACCGACGAAGACTCGCATCGTGAGCTTTGATAGCAAGCAAATCGTCTTTCCCGAAGACGATGACTCTGATATCATCATCGTTAATGAAGATTACCAAAAGAATACGCTAGAAGAACGCCTGGATGTTGGTGATTTGATTGAATCCACAACTGTTACGGAAAGGTAAGCTGGTTAACGTTATTAAAACTAAGTCTTATATATTTAAATATTACTCACTAACTCCGCTGGATCTGAGACCCAAATAGTCTTGGCTTCCGAAACGAGTAAATTCCAGCGCTGTGTCCTACGCCAGCTCTCGCCAATTGCTGACTTTCAGCTGCAGCGGGTCCTTCTCCACTCTGTCGATCCAGCGGTACCTGGGCCAACCTACTGGTTTCCGGGTGACTCAGATAAGCCAACCATTATAGGCGAATATAATAAATTTCATTTGACTAAGTCCTCATTTAATATTTTTTACTAAATGTATTATATCTTCAGGACACTCCCAAGTGACGCCCATGAATACACCTGGATGACAACTGACTGGTCGCCGTGCAATGCTCCCTGTGGTGCAACAGGTCACGAAGTTAGGGGAGCGGTCTGTCAGGTAGGACGTTATCATTTATTTTAACTATAAAATTTATGTATCTATATTATGATAATTAAAAAGTTTATGAAAAAATTTACTAAAAACCAAAATTTATGGTTCCTTGACTTGTAAAAGTATATGATTACCTACGTGTGCAACTGTTGTTTATAACACAATTATTAATTGAGACTCTTTACTATATAGCTTTAAAAACCATTGATCAATTTTATTTGCGCTATGCTCGTATAAGCATGACATCTTGCACGATTCCAAGTCTTCGTCAACCGCTGACTTTGCCGTATTCTGGGTATCTACCGGCCAGTGAAGATCTCTAACGTACAACTTTGGGAGCGCTGCCGAGAAACACAGATTAGCTAGCAGATCAAGCGACGCAAGTGGAAATGGATAGGCCATAAACTCCGAAGAGATTCCAATAATATCCACAAACGGGCGCTTGATTGGATCCCACAAGGAAAGTGGAAGCGTGGCCGACCCAAGCAAACCTGAACCAAAAGAAACCAAAGCCAAGTCAAATTGTATTACGGGAAAAAAAATTACAAAATAATATCATTTATCAAATCAGTTATTATTTTTTTATCATACGTTTATAGGTCGCGTAGTTCATAAAGATTTTCTAATTTTATATATTTCTATAATAAAAGTCAACTTTCCAGCATAAAATAGGGAATGAAACGGCGACAGTGGAGACGGAAGAATGTCTGACAAGGATAGCAATACAACCGACTGTTCTTCGCGAATGTGTCGGCCGCAGTTGTGCCACTTGGAGTATTTCTTCCTGGTCTCCTATTCGATGTTTGTCTAGTGGAATTGGTAAGATCAGATGAGTAGAAAAAAATCGTTCTTAAATTAATTAAAAATTACTTTTTATTTTTACCTAAAATTCTTAACTCTTCATAAAACTTATTTAATACAAATTGCCGCGTGCATAACTTGACGTTTTGATTACTTTGTAATCATGGTTAGCGAGAAACATCTAAACATTTCAATTTTCCTCACTCATTTAGTAGTTTAGTTTTTGTACATTTTTCAATTCACAATTTACATTTGTTGTGTATTCTTGTTAAAAGCTCTCCCTACTGCTTACCTAGAATCTCAGCTTTATAATATTCAAAATTTTATTTCAACCGATTTTTAAGTGTATTTTAAAATATTGTTATAATTCATCAGCGATATCTCGACGTCGAGTTGAATGTGTAGCGGATAACGGAACTACACTAGCGGATCCTGCGTGCTCGTTCTCTTCTCGCCCTGAGAGGACTCGTCGGGAGGCAGTCCGGTGCCAGCCTGTTTGGGTCGTGGGATCTTGGAGTAAGGTATACTATGAAGCTTCTCTCAATGAAAGGAGCAGAAAGCTTATCTACATGTTATCTATTTGCAATCTTTTAACTAATTCTAACAAATACAAAAGATACTAAATGAAATACATCTATTGGCAGAAGATTTGTGTTTTAATTTAAAATAAACATTCATTCATACTCGTAGCTGAGTTCCTTAAATACGAGTAGATTGTATCACCTAGTAAGGTATTGTTACAAAGACGGGTTGAATGAAATGTTTTTAGAAGCGTTTTCAGCAAGCTGAAGTGTGACTTACGATCTCTTTTGAGAAAAAGAGGCTCTATCACATGCCAGAAAATTGGATTTTACATAAAGTTACCCTCGTTTTGAGGCGTCTATAACGCTTTTTCAGGTTGTTCCAAAGCTAGTGTAGTCACGAGGTACAGTTTTCAGAAAACCCGTTTTCAGGACAGGAATATACGTTCATTACTAGCCTTCCTTACCAGCTACTACAGTATCATTACCGCCCAGAAAGTTCTGGATTATCGTTCACGATTATTCCCTGGGACATCAGTATAAAAGGGCCGAAACGCGACCAGTTTATTTGAGTTTCGAGTTCGATACCGAGAGATTAACATCGAAAACATAAAAGATTGTGACACGTAATGAAAGGTCTAAAATGCGCGTAATTGAAGTAATTACAGTGTTTTGTGTATTTATTTGTGTGTTTTTCCGCGTAATTTGTGTATTTTTAGTGTAATTAAATTTCTCATTTATTAATTTAAAATATATCCTTGAACAAATTTCATAACAGAATCTATGCAATTTAAAAAATACAACACTTCATTTATTCATTACTGTTCACCTAGTCAAAGAATATAAAATATTCTCATAGTAATCTTATCCGAAGTTTCTTCTGGGAAATATTTGCACATATCCAATTAGTGTCAAGTTTCCAGACTTAAGAATTTTCATTTTATGTGCATTACAACTCAATACATTCATTGCTCTACACCGTGAGGGATTTTACGAACTCGGGGATTTATTTTGAATATTTTATATTTAAATTAAAGTTGGTTTAGTAGCTTAGTGCGCGACTGTCGACTACAAGTCGCCGGTTTTGCAAGAAATGGATATATCTGTCTATGAGCGCAATATATAACACTTGTATGGTGATAAATATTGTAAAAAGGGGCACATGTCTTGGACTCAAAAATCCGCGTACCGTCAGACCTAGAAGGCAGACCAAGATGCCTATAAGTGATGAAAGATACCAGGAGCCAAAACTCATACCAGGGTTATAGCGTCATTGATTTTTTTCAATTGTGTATTAGGCTCGTCTACCTGTGTAAAATTTAACAAATGGTCTGATTTTATATCGCATGAACGCGTAACAAACTTAGGATATAACTTTGCAAGAAAAACTCATATAGTCTATGAGTCTATGATTTTCGCAGTGCATAGGAACCTGCGGTGTGACAGGCAGACAACACCGTGTGTTGCGTTGCGTATGGCGGTTCCCAGACATGCGCAGGCGCGCCAAGAAAGAACGCCCTGCTGCACTTTGTACCGGCGTTAGGCCAGATGTTGCCAGGGAATGTCACATGTCTTGTAATCAAGGTAATTTAACATGAATATAAATTTTATTAGTAACTCATTTCTAGTTTGTGTTTGATATTGTTGTGATAAAAAATACTTAGTACTGGCAGCACCGTTCTAAGGAGTATGGATATCTTGCGGTTGTCTTAATAAAACCTTATTATTTTGATAGTAATGATCCGTGTACCGTGCTCCAAGGCCCCGAAACTCTAAGGCTGTGCGTTCAAATCTCAGCACCAACAGATCACTCTTTCTGGCAATTAACATTTGCTCATACAATGTAAATACATCCACAGGATTGTTATAAAAGCTAATAAAATGTTAAATCCCTTATTTTGGTCAGCAGATGGCGTGTGCAAAGACACGTCCCGTTTCTGCGAAAACGTACGCGCAATGAACATGTGCGCAGTACGTCGATACAAGGAGCATTGTTGCAAAACTTGCGACGATTAAATAGACTGTTTTATACGTATTCTGTATTCGATAGTTTTAATTAAAGGCCAAAAGTGGTACAATTGAATAATTTAAATGAAAATACTAAAAATTAAAAATCTATGAAATTCGTAGGCTTGAGTCCGCTCTTTACACAAGTTTTCAAGAATTTATTTCATTTTATTGTGTTTCTATAGAAAATAAATAAGTAATTTCTATACAAAAAACATCAAATTTTTCGATAGATAATGACAAAAGTTTTAACTAATCGAAAACATGCTGAACCAACCCTAAAGAAATCCCTAAAAATAACTTAAATATTTGTGTTTATATTTTCGTAATTGTACCATTTTTGGCGATACAAATTTTACCCACCTAATTTATTTTTTACTAAAGCATTTTGGCCAGTCCCTAGTATTATTTGAATAGGTTGCATTAATAGTATTTTCATATATATTCGAGGTTTATGTGTTATTAAAAAGGAACTTCCTTCTTTCCTTTCTTAGTCCTAAACCTGCGTTATCCTTTACGTAAAAATGCTATTAATGAAACTTTATAATCAGTATTTATGTGCAAAACGCGTGAAGGAATTATATATGAACGCTTTAAAATTATTACATTTTAAATATATATTATAGATACTGTTGAGGATTTCCAATAATATTGTAATAAACAAAATATGCATTAACAAAACAACTTTTGAAGATTTAAATAATCAAAATATCAAGATTAATTTTTGAAATTTCCTAAATTTAAAATGTAAATTATTCAAAATATAGTTCGAATTTAATTTTAAGTAGAAAACAAAGTATTTAGGAAAAACAATGTTTTGTACATTATATATTTAGTATGTAAATAAGCACCTGTGCTACGCTTAGTATTATCAGTAATATAATGCACAAAAGTATATTTATGCAATAAATGTATAGAGAATTAGAGAAAATTGCCAAATTGTTAGCGACGTGTTTCAGAAATACAGTCGCGTGGAAAAATTTTAAAAAAATATTGTCAATTTAGCAAAGTTTTAGTGGGAGCGTGGGCGAGTGTTAGAAATGTGCTGACTCGAAGAACTATTACAATTTTAGATTATTTTGAGGGATGTGTGCGGTGTTTGTTTATGTCTTATGTCTGTTATGAACTAAAAATATTGCGTAAATTTTTGGTGATTTCAGTTATTTTTTTCATAACTGTGTTAAATATAAATTATGTGTCACTAGCGACATTTGACATATTTTGTCAAACATATCGCAAATCTTATACAAAACAAACTGACACAAACATCGCATTAATCCTTCAAAGCATATTACTAGTAAATTATATAATGTATATTAATAAACCAATCGAATGAACGAAGCAATATAGTCGCTTATGTATGTAAATAAAAATGTATCAACCATCCAACATTCATTGCCGCTTATAGCAGTTTTATTTTAACTATAGATTCTAACAACTTCTATTAAATCTAAATAACCTTTATCGTCTCTATTCAACAATTCATGAACAACTTTATTATTTGATGTAATATAATTGATCAACACAAAAATGATGGTAAGTAGATTATTTATCTTAGCACTTAAAGTTAATCCAGAAAGGAGACTTAGCGCGAACTTTGTCTAAATCAATGGCGTTTTTGACATACGGGTGACTAATATCAGCTTTCTGAATATCACCCTCAGTGTTACACTGAGTTGTTCTATTCGTTCGAATAAATTTTCACCAATTATTCGAGCAATTTAGTTGACCCAACATAAGGTCAGTGAAAGCCATGTATTAAAATATAAAAAACACTGCTTTAAGTCGTAATGAACTTGGGTGGATACGCTATAATTTCTGTCCATTTAGCGAGTAAATTCATTCCTCATATCTAATATATAAAGTAGAAAATGACACATTTATTTTATTTAATTTCATATGGCCATTGACTTACGTATGAATTTTTGCTTGGTCCCCTTGGGTGATGATCTAGAGACAGATAAGATACTTAAATTATACAAATGTATATCCTATTCTTTTAGGTATTCATTATAAAGGATATACTATTCAGAGATAAATTCCCGGTAAACAAATTTACCAGTATAATACAACTATACTAAATTAGAAGTGTGGTAGTCGTTTACTACTTTTGTCCTAAAAGTACTTAAATGACTCTTACCTTCAGTCTATGTAAACGGAAGTGGGGCTGATACCGACAAAACTAACCCTTCTAAATTCTAAATATCAAGAAGTTTAGGAAGCAGACATGTATCAAGTCTTATCAATTGTCACTGTCTAGTGGTATATGACAATACAACTGTCACTCCTAGTACAGATTAATATTTGCGTTATTAAATTAAATAGAATTTGTTTATCTGTCTATTGAGTTTTATTAATCTCGAAAGTAGAAGATTTAAAATACTTAACTGTCAAAACCTACTTTTTAACTACTGAATGACAAACGTCGCTTTTCTCTGTCTAAATTATATGGCCTTTGACAACCAACGCTGCTGTGACCATTAACAAGTAATTTTTAACGAAATGTTTTTAGGTATTGCTTTGTGTGTGAAAGAGCGTGTAAATGTCAAAGCTGCATTCAAATGAGAGCCCGCATTTGTTTTTAAAATATTACAGATAAAAGTATCACGTAACATATTTTAACTTGATATAATGATAGAGCATTCTTTCTTGATGCTATTGTGAGGTTTATGAAAACAGAACTTTTAGTTCACTCGTATTATATATATGTTGATAATATGTAATTTAAATGTATGGTTAAATACTTAATTGAATGCAGTTCAACATAATTATATAATGTACTTATCTCAAAATCATTAAAATTAGTTAAATTGAATAAGTCCAGAACTGTAAATTGTACCAAGAATTTTCAAATATGAAAATATATAAATAAGTTACAATACCTTCTTTTATTTATTCCATTTCTATCACCTCGTTATTTTCGTAGCAACTTAAGGTGATACTAAAAAAATACATATAAACAAATGAACTGAATTTATGTCCTTTTTTCAAGTTGGCTAGAAAAAAAAAGGGTAGGTAAAAAAAAGGTAAAGGTAAAGGTAGGTAGGTCGGTTTAAAATTTAATAGTGATTAAAAGACAGCAACCATGCCTTCAACTACCTTGAGCCTCATAAGACATTTATAACTCGAACAAAAAAAAAGGGTAGGTAAAAAAAAGGTAAAGGTAGGTAGGTCGGTTTAAAATTTAATAGTGATTAAAAGACAGCAACCATGCCTTCAACTACCTTGAGCCTCATAGTATTTATAACGAGAATCTTTTATGTATCACCTATAGGTATGTATCACGTATACGCCAAGATAGAGATTCTCTAATATAAGAAAACATTTCATCCGAATTGGCAATTATAAACTACCAACTGGTATACTGGAGACACGGTAAAGTATTTTTACAGAAATTATAGTTTTAATTTTATTACACTTTACATTTATACATGTGAATAAACAAGAAAGAAAAAAGTAAGAATGAAATTATTAACGAAATCTTTTTAAAGGTAATTTGATTCCGTGAAAACTACGTTCGTTATTTATCTTTTTAATTAAGTTGAGAATTAAAATGTAAAACGGTAACGTCAGATATTGCACTGGATTTACGTAAATTGAGACTCTTACAGATGGATCGGAACGGTGAAAAGCTATTCTATACATAAATGCTTGTAGTACAAGACAGAGGCTACAGTTTTCGTTTATTTCAGCACATTATATATAAAGATAACTTACCTATATATTTTAGTAAAAAATATATATGTTATCTGTAAGGGTCTCGGTGTCGAGACCCTTGGTTCGTAGGGTCCTAGCGCTTTAAGGCTTTTTAAAGAAATTTCAAAAAGGTTAGTCGACATCACAGGAGACCGAAGATCTGGCAGCTACCTCGGACAATGAATTAGTCTAGCAATTCAAAGGGGGAACGCTGCCAGTATCTTCGGAACCTTGCCTAAAGGGACTCCTTCTAATGATATATTTTAGTTTACGTTAAGTTTAGTTATTTATTTCAATGTATATTATTTTATTATTATATTTCCTTTTTATATTGTAGTCCATTACAATAAAAAAATTTTTTTTAGTAAATATATGTTAGTCGTAGTAGTTAGTAGTTAGTCCAATCACAGATTACACGAGAGAGAAGTACACGACACGATCTGTCGTTCCGTTTGAATGACAACATTACTTGACTGAATCCAGTATACGCCGTCCTTAAAACAAAACAAATTACCAAGGAATAAATGGGATCTTTAGAACCTACTGCAGGTTGATTTGGAAAAAATACTCTCATACATTACTACTTCACCATTACCATACCTTTTGGTTTTCGAAAACACTTTAAATTTATGTAATGCATAAAACTATACAAAGCGACGCAGGCAATAATCTCTTTATACACTTACCGAATTATAATTCCGAATTGTCATCTTCATTTCTTTACAAAAATGGGCTTAGTGGGCTTAGGGTATTTAATGAATAAATATATTAATTAAATATTGATTGTGTTTTTATTAATATTACTCTGTATACAATATACCATAACCAATTCAGTTTTCTTATATTATTATATATTTTTCATTTTATAGTTTTCTCTTATTTAATTCGCTTTCGCATTTATTCCAGGAAAGTTAATTTGGCTTGCTTTTCGTTTGAATTGCCCACCAAATAATTTTAAATTATCATATTTATTTAGCACTTTGTCAGTCTATTCTAATATACTGTGTACCTGCATGGGGAGGAACGGCTGAATCTTCACTGATTAAGTTGGTGAGTGGTCGTATTTGAATACGTGTATGCGGTGATGTTAGTTATTTCGACTATGTGTTTGCATGTTGTTCCTACGAGAATGTAAGTGCGTGCTCCTATTTCACCATGCCTCCTGCTGGTAGAGGACAAGTCTTTGTTTTTAATTTATGTTATAATTATTAATTACTTAAGATGTCATGTGGCACATAGTGTAATGGCACCTTGCAAATGTTGAGTAAAAAAAACATGGCGATTAAAAAGAGTGGCGGAGAGATTATTGCCAG